TGGGCAATCTACTTCCATAGAGATACCGCCTTGGAAACCCAAGGAGGGTTGCTATGAGTCATGTCCGACTAAACAGCAGTGATTTTGGTTTTTGTTTTTTACCTTTATTTCGGTTAAAATGCCTGTTTAGTACTCAGATTGAACACACTATGGTTTCTTTTTGTGTCCTCAGTGTCAAATCTTGAAATCTGCACAAAGCATTCATTTGTCCACATCTTTGAATTCTTTGTTTTCATAGGACAGAAGAATCAAAGGGCATTAGGGACTGTTCAAGACAGAGAATCACATGAAGAAATATCTTGCTGTCAAATCAACAAATTGCAAGTGACTCAGCTGGGTGTTAGGACTCCATAATAAATACTTTTTGAGTCCCACAAACAAGATGATTCCCTGTGCCAGGTTGGGGCAGTACTATCCCAGTTTCTGAAGATAAGAACTGTGTACTGAACCATTAAGGGAATGGTACTGATGACATTTGAAATTCAAAGTTTGCAACTTAGAGAGCCCATGATTCTTGGAAGAAAACTTATACCAGACTAGTCACCAAATTATCAAAGTGAGTATCAGCAAATTTCCATGAAAAACAAACTGCCTGCATCAGTTGGATTTCACATCTCTGTGCTCTGGGACTCCCAGCCCCATAAAAGTGAAATACGACCACAGTGGTTATGGAAAATACAGAATGAATATTTCAACATTTGTTCACTAAAGTATAATTCATGCAGGACCTACCAGTGTAATAAGTGTAAAGAAACATTTCATGATTTCTCAAGCTTTGATCTTCATTAGCCATTACATTTAGAGAATCTCAAGACATGTGGTGAGTGTATTAAACACTTCCATTATAGCTCCAAACCAACCAAACTCGCTGCCATCCAGTCCATTTGACTCATAGTGACCCCTCCTTGGGTTTCCCAGGCAGTATCTCTATGGAACTAGATTGCCTAATTTTCCTTCCAGTGAGTGACTGGTGGTTTGAACCGCCAGTCTTCTGGTTAGCAGTCAAATGCCTTGTGCACCATGCCACCAGAGCTCCACCATTATCGCTCAGTTCTTGATATTCATCAGAGAGTTCACATGAAAGAGAAGTATAATAAGTGTAATGATTGTGATCAGGATGTCAGTTGGAGCTCACACCTACAAACTCATCAGAAATTTCATACTGTAGAGAAACCACAGAGATGTGAGGAATGTGGGAAAGGCTTCAATCATAAACCAGCTCTTAATGTTCATGGCAAAGGCCACACAGAAGAGAAAGTGAGGTGTGTGGGAGAGCCTTCTGTCAGGACCATCAGAGAGTCCATACTGGAGAGAAACCATTCAAATGTGACACATTTCAGCCCCACCACAGAGTCCATATAGGAGAGAAACTGTACCAATGTGAGGAATGTGGTAAAGCCTTCAGTTGGTCTTCACTTATCCAGGCAAACCAAGGACTTAACACAGGAGAGAAATACTGTGGTGCAGTGACTTACTTAACATGACCCTTCTAGCCATAGTCTTTGAAATTCCCACCAAATGACTGGGTAGGACTATGAAAATGTCATACGCTTAGGGTCCCTCATGAGGATTGAATAGCTTGCTAATAATGTAAATAAGATGTGTAGCACCCATGTGGATGTGGAACCATGGAAATAAGGTGTATGGAACCCTAATGTGGGAATTGGTCAGTTTTGCCATCCCCACTAGGCTTACTATGAGCGAGGGAATGATATCACTGCTATCAAGAAAGAATAGCCAAGAGCGGAGTGCATCTTTGGATCCAAGATTGCTGTACTGAACCTCTTCGAACTAGGAGACGGAAAGAGAGCTGTAACACTTTCCTGAGACAGCAAGAGATGATGAGAAGCAGTGGCAGAGAAACAGCAGTAGCAGAGGCAGAAGAACTGCTTGCCCAAGCAAGGAAGCAGCCAAGGGAGCAGCAGGGCCAAGAGACCAAGGGCCAGAGAGAAGTGTGCCCGTGGGAACACCTGAGAAAAGGCTGTCTCAATCCAAGAATATCCTGAGTCATTCTGATCCTGATTTGTAAACTGTTACTTCCTTAATACACGCCATAATTGTGAGTATAAACTGTGAGTCCTGTGTGGCCACTGCAGTGAATTATTAAATGCAGAAGAGAAGCTGGCTGTGAAGGCTGATGAATCCAAGATTGTCAGGCAAGATGGCGGGCTGCTAGCTCACAGGCTGAGAAGGTTAACAATGCCAGGATTGTCAGGCAATACAACAGGCTGCTGGTTGAACTCCAAAGATCTAGATGAGCCAGATGCAGGATCCAGATTGAGCAAAAAGCCACAGACCTTTGCCAGAATGTCCACATGTATTAGAAGCAGGCCACACCCCTGTGGAAACTCTCTTTCAACTTGTTAGTTACTCGTGTATTTCATCAAGGCAGTGATTATATCAGATCTCATCATTGGGAGATGACTACATCATAACTGCCTAAGCACTAAGAATCATGGCACAGCCTAGTTGACACACAACATTAACCATTACACATACTTACAAAAATAGCATGCCAATGATGGGGTGCCTGGTTTGCAAAAATGTGTACAGACAAGTTATTTGCATAAAGATAAGGTAACTGTGCCACCCAGGGAAACCCAAAACTAAACTCACTGCCATTGAGTCAGGTCTGACTCATAGCGACCCCTCCTTGGGTTTCCGAGGCAATATCACTACAGAAGTAGATTGTCCAACCTTCCTTCCAGGGAGTGGCTGGTGGGTTTGAACCACCAGCCTTCTGGTTAGCAGTCAGATGCCTTAGGCACTAGGCCATCAGAGCTCCTTGCATTCCCAGGCGTATACATACTGTCTAGGCACAAACCATTAACTTTAAAATTGGCTAAGGTTCTTTGACACCAAAGGAGGCATGCAATTCCATGATGGTCATATAGGCGTTTATTAAGGGCTTACTGACTGAGGCTGCTCCCTGGGCTGTGGCAGGGTCAACTTGCATCTCTGCACCTACCCCCAGAATGATGCAGGGGTTTTCAATCTCTAAGGACACCCCAAGAGGAGTTATATAAGAGTGACTTTGCAAGCAGATGTGAGCTAGCAGCAAATAAGAGTGTAGCCATTTTTGCCCTTACAAAAGTCTGTTCATTTACAAATAGACATAAATATTTATTAGTGGTTTTCAAGGAAGGGAGAAAGGACTTATTGGTCAAGGTCAACTGAGTTTCTGTTCAGGATGAGGACAAACATTTGGAAATGGATAGTGGTGATACTTGAATAAATGTGGTGAACGTAATTATATTTCATTGAATTGTACACATAAAATGGATGCAATGGCAAACATGTATATACATATACATACCACAATAAAAATTTTAAAAGTTGATGTGCAGTTATTGATAATATTCTAATGACATAAAACAAACCATTTCAAATTTCTGTGTCCTGTTTATTACCTGTTGATAATATTTGCTAACTTTATGGAGTCATCATGAATCAAGCAGTGTTTCTATTTGTGGTGCAGTGAATTACTTAGTATAGCTCTTTGAGCCAGGGTCTTTGCGGTGCCCACATGATGACTGGGTGGAACTATGCAAATGTCAGGTGCTTGTGGCCCACCAAAGGGATTGGATATCTTGTTAGTAATGTAAATGAGGTACACAGTACTGTTGTGAGGGTGGGATTGTACAAATAAGGTGTATGGAACCCTAAGGTGGGGATTCATCAGTTTTGTTAGTCCACTAGGCTTAACATGAGCCCTCTCAGAGGCAGAAGCGGGGGGTCTCACTGCACTCGAGAGATGACCCAGAGGTGGAGTGGAGCGCATCCTTGAACCCAAGATCCTGTACTGGACCTCCTTGGCAGAGAGATGTCAGCAATAGAGGTAGCAGAACTGAGAGAACATCAGGAGACAGGACAGTGGGCTTGCCTGCCCACAGAGCACGAAAGCTGAGTGTCTTTCGTCTGGAGTCTTGCTGGCAGAGTGGGGTCATTTAGATGCACCTATTGGCAGAGCTCAAAGAACTTTGTAACACTTGCTCAAGCAGAGCAGGGCAGAGGCCAGGCCTACAGGCTATGGGCCAAAAAGAAGTGTGCCTTTGGGCATGGCGAGGGGAGGCTGTCTTGATGATTGAAGAATTGTATGTTGAGCACTTTCATGAACCTGAATTCCCTAATAAACTCCATAACCATGAGTACTGTCTGTGAGTTCTGTGTGGCTATTGCAACGAATTATCTATCGAACCCAGCAGAGAAGTATTGAGTATGTGGGAGGGATGGTTGGTGTCAGAATTGGTAAAAAAAGAAAAAAAAGGTTGAAGGGTGGTGGCATCTCTGGCCTCATAGGAATCAACCCTGGACTGCTGATGGTGATTCTGTCTCCTCCTGATGAGGTTAGAGGAAATCGAGGAGGAGGATGCCCCATGTCCTTTTTGTACTATTACTTTATGTTTTAGATGTATCTACTCACTTGTTCCTTATATCAACATTATTATCTTTTTACAGATGACGAAAAAGCTAAAGGTCACAGAGTAAGTTGCAGAGCTAGTCTTTTGACCTGATCCCAAGTATGTAATTTTGGTTACTACACATTGCTTGGTAACTACACACTGCGTTAATAATCACGACAAAAACCCCACAAGAAATCTTACTGCATGAAGACTAAGATCTAGGATTGAATGGAGCAGCAGGAGGTGAGAGTGTAAATCTGCAATATATACATATATTTTTTTTGCCTTTCATTCTTTTTGTATCAAAACTATTCTTCCCATTAGATTGATAAGTTTATAAATGTGTACAACTGCTTCAAAGTGTATCATTATTCTCTTCTTTTCCTGGTAGTGGCTAGTATAATTCTATTAGTAAAAGTTTACGTGATGTTTGCTCCTTACTATCGTTCTTTTAAGTCTATGACTCTTTTCACATCCTCTCTGTAAACGTTTTTTCAGAAAGAGAAATTCCATGCATCCAAGAATAGGCTTCAAAGCAAGGGCAACAACTAGCCTCGGAGAACAGCTTCAGGCTGGTAAAATGGCGTGAAACACTGAAGGGGATTCTGGGAGCTGTAGTTCGGGAGTTCCGAGAATCTGGAGGTTTTTAATTTAATTAAATTATTTTATTCGCTCTAAGAGGTAGCATCGGGATCTTTGTCCTCCAAGTAGTTCTGGGGAATGTATTTCGGAACCTTGTTCGGCAGTCATTTGGCCACAGAAGGGTGGGGCTTGGAGCTTGTTCCCCTGGGGACTTCTGGGAAGTGTAGTTCACTTATACTTGTAGAAGCTTCTGCTCTGGGAAAACGAGGCCGGCACCAGGTTTTCGGACCGGGAGGTGAGTCAATTCGGTTCCCTCGTTCCCCTCCGAGTCTCTTCTGGATGCGTGTGGGCGTAGCCGCGCGACTCAGCTGTCACTGTGGTAGGACACGGAAGCCACGGCCACCGGCGGAGGCTGGGAGGCGGAGGACGGAAGATGGGGTTCCCTCAACAACTCCTCCATTTAAGCCAGCAGCTCTGCTACTTCACCCGATGTACTATTTAGCGAGTTATTTGTTATCTCTGCGCTCTAGTTTCCTCCTCTGTGGCATAGCGGTAACGATGGTAACTACCAGGAGGGAATGTGATTAGAAACTAAGGAGACCACACGTGTAAACACGGGTTAGAACAGCGGCGGCACATCCTGCTGGGTGGGCTTTTGCTATTTATACAGTTATTCCCTCACAAGCGCCCTTTTCACTGAAGCACCTGGGAAGACGGAGATGAGGTCGGGGCTCTGCGAGTAGTGCCATCCGCCCGTGGCTCTCGATCCCTCGGGAGGCAGAGCCCTTCAGGACTTGTAACGGTCTCTTCTTAGAAGGACAGAGCCATCCCGAGCTAGTGCCTGGGGATGTCTGTCCACTGAGGTTTCTCCTGGAGACAGGCCGTCGTGGTATCATGTCACAGCATCCTTTTCTTCACCATCTCTGAGTTCAGAAAGGAGGAAGGAGAAACTTGGCTTCTTACAGCACAGCCCCAGGTACATGCTACGGAATGTACAGGCTTGTTATGGTGTTTGTTTACAGTTAGTCGAGTTTCCTTCATGTAGTGAATTCTGTTGGAAAATGTTCAAATATTTGTTGAATAAAAAAATGAGAACGTGTTGAAGGGACACGTGGAAATAAGCACTGTTAATAACATTTTCACACTTTAGTTTTGAGGTATTTTTCTAAAGACTATGTATTAATGAACTAGGTGTTACTATCCATGTTTTAAGTATGAGGAAAAAAATGGAGAGTTTATGTTACTTTTCCAAAGTCATCCAGCTATTAAGAGGTAGAGTGGGAATTGACCCAAGCAGTCTGTGTCCAGAGCCTGTTATCTTAGTCCCTCTGTCAGTCATAGGGGATAGTAATCTGCATGTCTGAAGGGGAGTGGGCCCTGGCAAGGTAAATTGGACCTTTACATGGAAGACCTTGAAAATGATAAGGTTTTGGATTAAAATATCTTTCTCTTAAACATCTCTTATATTTAAATTGATTTCATTTCACATAAAATAAAAAGTCATAGAGCGAGGGAGAGTGTGCAAGAGAGAGCCCGGGTGGTACAGTGGTGATCAGCTTTCCAAGCTACCAGCCGTTCCACTGGAGACAGATACTTCCATAAAGATTATAGCCTTGGAAACTCTATGGGACAGTTCTACTCTGTTGTAGAGCGTTGCTATGAGGGCACGTTGTTAGGTGCTATTGAATCAGCTGACTCACAGTGACCCCTTGTACAACAGAACTTGATACTGCCTGGTCCTGTGCCATCCTTGCTATGCATAAACCAATCTTTGCAGCCATTGTGTCAATCCATCTCATTGAAGGTTGTGGTAATTAAGGGCTGTGGTAGTTAAGATTATGTCAACTTGCCTGGGTCTGGTTGAATGACTAGGCAGCTGGATGTAGTTATTTCCCATGATGAGATTGATAATCAGTTCCATGGTAGAATCTACTGGAGCAGCTCAGTAGCTGTTTTAAGGATGTGATCTGCTTCCAGTATATAAGGAGAAGCACTGAGAAAGGTTTCTGCAGCTTTTTGCCATGCTTGGACCCTGCATGTAGCCTAGTCTTCATTTAGCAGCCTGCCATGTTTCTTGCTGATCTTGGGACTGTCTTTGGACTTGAATTAGTGGCCTGCCACGTAGTTTGGTAATATTGGGACTGTGTCATTTTTATTTGTTGACCTTGGGCTTGTTAGCTTCAACAGCGAGTAGCTGCCTGAGTGAAGAGACACCACTACTTCCATTGGACCGGGAACCAGAGGCAGAGCTGAAGCTCAAGGTCAAGGGGCTTTCACCCAGCCCCTAGAGCCTGGCACTTTGTACTTGGACTTCTAGCCTTTAAAACTGTAAACTCCTTTTTGTTAAAGCCACCCACCTGGGGTATTTTCTGTTAGAGCAGCACAAAGTAACCAAAACAAGGGTCTTCCCCTTTCTCGTCGACCTTCTACTTTACCAAGCATGATATCCTTCTCCAGGGACTGGTCCCTTCTGACAACATGAGCAAAGCAGGTGAGATGGAGTCTGGCCATTCTCGTTTCCAAGGAGCATTCTGGCTGCATTTCTTCCAGGACAGATTTTCTCGTTCTTCTGGCAGCCCATGGTATTTTCAGTATTCTTTGCCAATACCACAATTCAAAGTCATCAACTCTCCTTCAGTCTTTCTTACTCACTGTCCAGTTTTCACATGCATATGAAGTGATTAAAAATACCATTGCTTGAGTTAGGTGCACCTTAGTCTTCAAAGTGACATCTTTGCTCCTTAACCCTTTAAGAAGTCTTTTGCAGTACATTTGCCCAGTGCAATATGATGTCTGATTTCTTGACTGCTGCTTCCATGGGTGTTGATTATAGATCCATGTAAAATGAAATCTCTGACGACATCAATCTTTTCACCATTTATCGTTATGTTGCTTATTGGTCCAGTTGTGATGATTTTTGTTTTCTTCACGTTAAGGTGTAATCCATACCTCCATATTAGGGTATATATATGTCATATTTTGATTACAGAAATAATGAATGCTCACTGTGGAAGTGTGCTATCTAGTCCAGTAGCTGCAAAGCAAACATGCTTTGAAATGAACACTTGCAATGTGGCTAGTCCAAATAAAGATATGTTGTAAGTGTAAATACACATTGGAGTTTAAAGACTATTACCAAAAAATGGAAAATACCTTATCAATGATATTTTTGGCATTGATTACATGTATAAATGATAATATTTTGGATTAAATAATGTATTAGTAAAATTAACTTCACTTTTTTTTTAACTTGGTTGAATTGGATTAAACTAAATGTATTATTATGTGCCTAACCCAAGCCATGGTATTTTCAGTCACCTCATATGCATGTGAGGGTTGGACAGTGGATAAGGAAGACTGAAAAAGAGTTGATGCTTTTGAGTTGTGGTGTTGAAGAAGAATGCTGAAAGTACCATGGACTGCTGAAAGAACTAACAGATCTGTCCTGGAGGAAGTGCAGCTGGAATGCTGCTTGGAAGTGAGACTGGCCAGACTTCCTCTTACCTACTTTGACTATGTTGTCAGAAAGGACCATTCCTTGGAGAAGGATATCATGCTTGGTAAAGTGGAGGGTCAACGAAAAAGGGGAAGGCACTCAACTAGATGGATTGACATAGTGGCTGCAACGATGGGCTCAGGTGTAGCAGGGATCGTGAGGCTGGGACAGAACCAGGCAGTGTTTTGTTCTGTTGTAAATAAGGTCTCTATGAGTCAGAGATGACTTGACAGCACCTCCCAACAACAACAACAAATACATTACTAAAACTGATTTCACTTGTTCATAATGTCACTATTGGAAAATTGAAATTACATATGTGACTCGATACATTTCCACTGGACAGCTGTGCTATAGATAATTCAGAAAATACAAAAATGCATTTTAAAAAATTAAAAATTACTTCCACTTATAGTAAAACTGTAACATGTCACTATATTCCTCTTTTGTATTTCCTATGCATGTTTATGGGTATGTGGCAAAATTGTTGTGGTACTCTGCATAGTTGAGTTTTTTTTTTTTTTCCTTTATTTAACGTGTTACAGAAATTTCTAGGTGTATATAAATGTAGAAAGTAGGATTGCAATGGATCCCTATATAGCCAAACTTAGTTTCAACTTTTGCTCAAAAGATTCTCTTCCCTTTTTATGATTATATCACCAGCATATTTACAAATGTTTTCCTACCATTGTGCTTTCTAATCTATCTTTCCAGGATCATGTAGTCATAAATTTTCATTGTCCTTGTTTAGCTTAAGCGTCTTTGTTTTTCCTTCACAAAAATGATATGTTAGCTGAGCCTAGAACTCAGGGTTCACAATTACTATTTTCCTTCTTCATTTTGGAAATATTACTTGAGATCTTCAATGTTTCTCTTTTTGTTAGTCTATTCTCACTTCTTTTAGGTAAGCTATATTTTCTTTCTGGAAGCTTTAAGGTTTTTGTTATTTTCAGTTCTTTTGTTTGTTTAGGGCCTTGCATTCTTAAACTTCACTATAATTTAAGATGTTAAAAATATAGCAGTTTCTGTAAAATGAGAGTTTTCCTCATATTCAAAGATTTGCAAACTGGGAAGCGCCAAATGAAAGTTCAAAATGGCATTCCTAAGAGGAAACATAAGTGCTTATCTTTTATCAGAAATTTGTACATGGTGGGAAAGAAACATGTGAGTACATTTCATTGGTTGACATTCAACATGGTATGTATACGTATTTATTAAGAATTCCTCTTGGCTTAACATTAGCCCCGGTTACCTGAACTCCAGAGCTGTTGTCTGTATCATTCTGGGAGGGCCACTTCAGAATGTTGTAGAACAAGTTATCTGGGTCAAGATTGTGGTCATGGATCACATACCCTAAAAAGCAGAAACAGGGGCTTCAGACAAAACAGAGTCCAATTCAGACCCACTTCGGCCGTTTTAGTTATGTCAAACCAAAAACCTGATGTTTTCAATTCGATTCCAATTCTTAGCAACCTTATAGAGCAAAGTAGAACTGCTCCATAGGGTTTCCAAGGCTATAATCACATGAAATTAACACTGGATCACATTTCTGAGTGTTTCCAATGGTTTCAATTGATTCTTTATAACAAAATTTTATCTATGACAGAACAGGCTTAGAGGTGCTTGTGGCCCACCAAGGGGATTGTATAGAATGCTAATAATGTTAACTATGTAAAAAGGTACATA